GGAGTCTTTTATTGGGGAAAGAAGTCAGCTGCTCTTTGTGTGGCTACTGATGACCGCCCCTCCTCAGCAGTGTCACAGATGTGGAGACAGGCGAACCACAGCAAGCCTCTGATTCCTGGCCTATAGATTTCTACTTTCCCTGAATCCTTCCGCTCTGCAGCAGAACCAAACGCTAACTATAAAGGCTGAACTCAAAAGAGTGATTCCATGAATTTCCACTTACAGTTTGTTTTAGAGTTTAGAATTTATAGTCGAGACCGCACCTTCAGTTTTTACCAAGAAAGCCCTAAATTTCATTCAACAGCAACTTGAGTTTGAAAAGGTTCTGAAGGCAACCCAGCAGGACCACTTCACCCCTGCCTTACTGTATTCGCTGGGGTAAATTATTTAAGTTACCTGTGCTATTTTGATAGGGGAGGTAACAGGAACTTGTCTCTTGAGGGTTACTGCGACCTTGAGAGTGAAAACCGTGTCATCTGAAGTGACCATTGCAGAAGCCTGCTTTTCTCTGCTTTGGTGGCCTTGGTTTGTGGAGTGTTAATTAATAATAATTGCTAATGTCCTTTGCACAACCATACACCAAGAAAGGCCCCTGGTAAAAGTGGGAGGAGAAGTGTGGGTCGTTTGTTGAATATTTTTTGTTGTGAACATCAAAATGTAAAAATATGTATATCTGAACACTATGGAAGGAGGTGATGCTTTCTTCCCAGGTTGTAAAGACTAAGTAGGGTTCCACATGAGAATATAGTTTTATACTATTGAATATCGGTCATGTGAATATTTTGCCCTGGCTGCTCCAAAATCCAGACTTTTTTTTAAAGGTTTATTTATTATGTATACAGTGTTCTGCCTGCATGTACGCCTGCGCAGCAGAAGAGGGCACTAGATCTCATTATAGGGTTGTAGGCCACCATGTCGTTGCTGGAAATTGAACTCAGGACCCTGGAAGAGCAGCCAGTGCTCTTAATCTCTGAGCCATCTGCCCTTAACCTCTGAGCCATATCCCCAGCCCCAAAGTCCAGACTTTTAAAACACATTAGGAAGCCAGGTGGTAGTGGCACAAGGAAGGCTTTAATCCTAGCACTTGGAAAGCAGAGGCAGGCAGATATAGTTCAGGACAAGCCTGATCTATAGAGTGAGTTCCAGGACAGCCAGAGCTATGCAGAGAGACCGTGTCTTGAAAAACAAAAACAAACCACTAGAAGAGGGCTGGAGAGATGGTTCAGTGGTTAAGAGCCCTGGCTGCTTTTGCAATGGAGCCAGAATCTTTTCCCAGCTCCCAGGAAATAGCTCACAACTGTCTCTAACTTCTGGTCTCCACAGGCACTTACAGGCAAGCAGGCACTTATGTACATAAAACAAAATAAAATCTTTAAAAAAATACTCTAGAGGTGACTTGGGAAAATGGATTTCAATCTCTCTCTCTCTCTCTCTCTCTCTCTCTCCCTGGTTTTTCAAGACAGGGTTTCTCTGCAGCTTTGGAGCCTGTCCTGGAACTAGCTCTTGTAGACCAGGCTGGCCTCGAACTCACAGAAATCCGCCTGCCTCTGCCTCCTGAGTGCTGGGATTAAAGGCGTGTGCCACAGCTAGATAAATCACTTCTTAAACAATTATGTGAATGGGTCCGGGTGAGTGCATATGTGTGAGGTGCCTGTAGAGACGGGAGGTATCAGATCTCCTTGAGCTCCATGGCGTTCTAGCCAGCGACGAACAATTCAGCCTGGGTGCTGGGAACTGAACCCGAGTCCTCTACGAGAGCAGCCAGTGATATGAACTGCCGAGCCATCTCTCCAGCCCTGGATGAATCCCTCTTAGACACAACAAATATACTGAGATCCTAGAATCAGAAGAAGATTAATGAATTCTGTTCTTCTTTTTGCAACCTGATAAAACTGGGTGTGTACCTGGGTTCTAAGGCTCAGACTCAGTAGCTAGTCTTGCTCAGCAAGCATCTCACACACTGTGCCATCTCACTGGCCCCGGAAGTGACAATCTCTGTACACGTATGGTTCACGGCACAGTTGCAGCAGGCAGGATTTTTAATAAACAACAGTGACAATCATTAGAGATTACGGTTATGCATGAGAAGCAACAGAGCTGGCTGGAACTGTGACTCACATGCAGACATGGCAGGAAACCAGTCCTCTACATAGGCAGAGCTGGGTGTGTATGTGTCCCACTCTGTGGCCCACGACTGGCCTGGGACTGATTGTCTTCTTACTGCAGTTTTCCAAATGCTGATATTTCATGTGCACACTACTTACTTCGCCAGCCTAGGAGTGGCTTCATGGTAAGTCTTGCTCGTGGAGAGAGACATATACCTGTTTAGAAGTGCCATCCTGCCCAAATGTAAGCAGGCTGCCTTGGTCTGAAAACGACAAAGGACACAGGGGTCAAGTATGTGATGCCAGGAGAGGACAGTGTCCCACCTGCTTACTGTGGAATCGTGAAGCTTTTCAGAGGCTCTGACTTCCGCTGTGGTCACCAGGGACCGGGCTGAGCTGGACAGCTGGGTTCGGCAGAAAGGCCCCGCGAAGAACCTTCAGTAACCCATGCTGTCCCTCTCCTAGACTCTGGGTTCGACGGTGACTTTCTGAAGGGTTTTTCAATGTGCTGTGGGCAGGACTAGATGGCTGAGGCCTCACCTATGGAAAGCAGATTAGGACAAGGTTGTCCCCACCATCCACCTGGGAACAGCATTGCTTCCTGAGGAGCAAGAGGCAAGGTTAATGTGATGTGTATGATTTAGCAGGGGCCTATCCTTCAACATAGAGCCAGACTCCTGTAAGTTATTCAGTTTAACTGAAGTGAGATGCTTAGAAAGTAGGCCATAGCATCTGTATTTACGGTAACAAATCTGGCGCACACACATAAGTGTGTATTTTCCAGACTAGGCAAAAGTGGAAGCAAGCTAGAGAACGCTGGGGAAGCCTGGGAGGTCTGGGCTTTATTGGGATGCTTTGCTATAGCCTTTCCTGAGACCTCCCTCCTGCCAGAGGATTTATCCCGGAGGCACTGAGCCAGGCCGAGGCAGCTGCCTCTTTCTTCTGTGATTTCATTCTTCCCTGCTGCCGACACTCCAAACACTGGCAGTGGCTCGGCGCCCTGCATCACTTCAGCGGGAGTCTGCACCACGGTTGATGTTTTTGTTTGTTTTTATCCGGCAGTCTTACTATGTCACCCGGACTAGCTTAGAAATGACTACATAGCTCAAGCTAGCCTTGAACTCACAGCAATTCTTCTGCCTCAGTCTCCCAAGTGCTAGAATGGCAAGCCCGAGCCACCACGCTGGCTGACACATCCCTTTTAAACCGACAGATTGCCTTGTCTGTTCCAAACCAGCGTGAATTCCACAGGAAGAGAGGACCGCGTGGCGCGCCTTTAGCTCCACACGCTCTTCCTGCCCCAGCGAGGTCTTCCCTTCCCCGGCCCGCCCTGAGCTCCACGCACAGCGCGCCCTTCCATTCTCCGGGTAGCTGGCACTACCCGGGGCGGCGGAGGAGAGGACAAGCCAGGCGGTTGGCGGGAGGAGCCAGACCGCCAGGCGCGCGGGCGAGCGGCGGCGTAGCAGGAAGCTCCCATTCATAAAGCGAACACCTGCTCGCCGCCTCCTGCCTCTACATGCCGCGAGCAGCCTGGGGAGCTTGGGTTTGGCAACCTTCACGGTGTCTCCGCCAGGTCCTCTCCGATCCTGGCCTCGTCCAGCCTCGGTAGAACAGAGGAGACAAAAAAAAAAAAAAAAGCTTGTGGCACGATACGTAAATCAAACCTCGCCCTTTGGCGCGAGGCTGTCCGACATTTTGTGCTTTGAAAGGTTTTGCGGGTAATAGATTTAGGAAGCGACTGTCGCACTGCTCTGCGGGGCCTTTTTTCCAAGCGATTGGCCTTTTAGCGGCCGCTGTTTACGCTTGCTTGGTGGCCCGGAGTGGGCAGGGCGGGAGCGGGCCAGGGGCGCTTTGGCATGCGGGGCGGGGCGCCGTGCTAATTCACCATGCAGTCTCCATCCGAATCGCGAGTTGCTCTCCACAATGATCCTCCCCGCGCAGCCCTCCGACCGGCCCCTGACTGCCAGCAGCGAGTGGCGAGCCCTCATTCGCTGAGCTGACGCCTGGCTCCCCGCCCCCCAGCCCCGTTACTCTCGCTCTGGAAATTACAACTCCTGGGCGCTCGGCGCGGCGGGCGCGGGAGGCGGCGGGGCCGGGAGGGGATCCCCGAGCCAGCGGGCGCTCGCTCCCCGCCCGCCGCGGCAGCGTGGTGCGGCCAAGGTCAGGGGCGCTGCAGGAATCGGTGCTGGCGAGACGAGTCGGGGACGCGGGTCGATATCCGCCTGCGAGGTGGCAGCTCTGCGAGCAGCGGCCGGGGAGCGGGACGGCGACGACCTCCGGGCGGGGGGATGCCGAGGTGGCCGTGGCAGCGCAGCAGCCCGGCTGGCGGAGCGCACCGGGAATCGACGTCGACTCCTTCTCCACCCGCTCGCGGGCGCTGTCCGCCGTCTGGTGGTGCTGAACTAGTCCTGGCCCAGCCGCTCGTGCGGCTGCCAAGAGCTGGGTAGGGGCGGGGCGCTCGGAAAAGACGACTTCTGGCCACGACGATGCGGTGCCCAGCTCAGTCGCCTAGCTGTCTGACAGCAGCGGGCCACTGGTCCTGCATGGAGGGGAGGCACAAAGTATCCGGACGGCGCTGCTGCTGCTGCTGCTGATTCATCACCGGGACAACCTCGGAGGCCACCGCGAGGGCTGTCCGCCACCTTCAGACGGCCGTCTCTGGTGCGGGAGCCTCGCCCTCGGGAGGTGAGGACCCCTCCCTTCTCTGGCGGCCGAGCTTCTTAGGGCGGTGGCCTGAGGACAGAAAGGGGCGTGCCCCCCTCCCGCGGGTGAAGACAGCATGCCCGTGTAATGCCTCTGCCTCCCGTCTCGGCAGCGCTGACCTCGCCTGCCCCTCTGCTCTTGACTTCGGAGCCTGACCATTCTTCTTTGGTCCCCGGAGCCCCCGGCGCGGCGATGGAGGAGGAGCTGAAGTGCCCGGTGTGTGGCTCCCTATTCCGGGAGCCCATCATCCTGCCCTGCTCTCACAATGTCTGCCTGCCATGCGCTCGCACCATCGCGGTTCAGACCCCAGACGGTGAGCAGCACCTGCCCCCGCCGCTCTTGCTTTCGCGGGGTGCCGCCGCCGCCGCGCCCCCTCCGGATCAGGACGCTGCGGCCGGCGCTACCTGCGGAGGCGCCGGCGCTAGCACAGCTGGAGGCCTGGGCGGCGGGGCGGCCGGTGGTGGAGACCACGCGGACAAGCTGAGCTTGTACAGCGAGACTGACAGCGGCTATGGTTCCTACACCCCCAGCCTCAAGTCTCCCAACGGAGTCCGCGTGTTGCCGATGGTGCCTGCGCCCCCAGGCTCTTCTGCCGCCGCTGCCCGGGGCGCTGCCTGCTCCTCACTCTGCTCATCCTCCAGCTCCATCACCTGCCCGCAATGCCACCGCAGCGCGTCACTGGATCACCGCGGCCTGCGAGGCTTCCAGCGCAATCGACTGCTGGAGGGTATAGTGCAGCGGTACCAGCAGGGCCGCGGGGTTGCTGCTGGAGCGTCTGCAGCCCCGGCGGTGGCCATCTGCCAGCTGTGCGACCGCACCCCACCGGAGCCGGCAGCCACTCTCTGCGAGCAATGCGACGTGCTCTATTGCGCCACCTGCCAGCTTAAGTGCCACCCGTCCCGGGGCCCCTTCGCTAAGCATCGGCTAGTTCAGCCGCCGCCTCCGCCAGCACCCCCAGAAGCTACCCCTGTTTCAGCCGGCACATCCATGGCCCCCAGCACAGGAGGATGCAGGAGCCCAGGGGGTGCTGGGGCCAGCGGGCCTCGAAAGTTCCCCACATGCCCCGAGCACGAAATGGAGAACTACAGCATGTACTGCGTGAGTTGTCGGAGCCCGGTGTGTTTCCTGTGCCTGGAGGAAGGCAGGCATGGCAAACACGAGGTGAAGCCGCTGGGGGCAACGTGGAAGCAACACAAGGTGAGCTGCGTGGGGATGTCAGCCAGGGTGGAAGTCAAGAGTATCCTGGCCTCTTCTTGGGAAGTTGCAGGAGGTTGGGCCTGAGGGTCAAACAGGATTCACTGCACCCATCTGCTCACGCATTTGCCCTTCCGTCCCATCCATCTACCCATGTGTTTGTCTGTTCATCCATGTATATGTCCATCTGTCTATCCATCAGCATGTTCACAGATCCATCCATGTGTTCATGAATACATTCATGTATACATCCATCTATCCATCCATCCACCCACCCATCCAAGGATTCCAGCATCACTATCTGGCCAATACTCAGTGGATCAGGTACCCCTGCACTGGGTGTTAGATGGGTGGGTTATAAAAATGACTTGTTAAGCTTCCTCTCTGAGACTTTCCTATTCTTCACAAAGGGTTGCCAAAGCACAGAAAACAGGGCTCTCACTCTTAAAGTATAAGGCACACTGTAAGGACTACTTCCTTTTAAGGGAGAAAAAGATTTTCAGGTGCAAGTGGTACCATCTGGCTGTAGGAACCCATCTGAAGTTTTCCTTGGATCTGCCGCCAAGGCAGGGAGGCAGCACCCGGCTCAAACACCCTTGAGCACCCGGGGCTCACCTTGTACTGCTTCCACACACCTTCCGTCAGCTTCACCTCACCAAGCAGATACACTTTTTCCCTGTCAGCTTCCAGGGAAGAAATGTCTCTCCCTTCAATTAGCTTCCAGCTTGTTCTATGCCCAAAATTTCTTTCAGCCCGTAGAGACTTAGGCGATGCCTCTTGGGCTCTGCATGAGATTTTGGGTGTGTCCTTCTAAGACGGGAGAGTGGTTTTTCCCCAGAGTCCTCTTGTCTGAGGCTCTGATACTGAAGCCGTGGAGGAATGGCAGACCAAGTTCTTAGTAAGAGACCAAACACATCTGCCTACAGCCTTCCCTCTGGGGGTGTCACTGTTAGCCACTTATGCCTGGCAGCAAGCTCTCTTCTCTGTCACAGAGAGAGAGAAAAAGCCCGGACAGTCTGCTTGGGCTGGGCCATCCACCAGTCATCAAGGCAAGGCCAGGTTCATTCCTCACTAGACATTCTATCCAGGTCTCAGTGCCTCCTTAGACTGACAAATTAGAGTCATGTGTTCATGGACCACGACAAAGGCTGCATTTTATGCAGCCAATCTTCAGATGCAAGAGGTGCCCAGACTAACTGTGTGTATTTGGGTTGAGCAGAGCCATAGGAAAATAAGGCTGCTTGCCAAGACACCTTATCACAAGAACAGTGAACGGCCCAGAGCAGTCAGAGGTGTGGCTTATCTATGTGGAACACATAGTGACTTTTATGCTCTCATCTGCTTCAATAAACACATGTTGTTATGATAATTTAATATTTTTTTCTTTTGATTTTCAAGACAGGGTTTCTCCGTAGCTTTTGGTTCCTGTCCTGGAACTAGCTCTTGTAGACCTGGCTGGCCTCAAACTCCCAGAGATCCACCTGCCTCTGCCTCCCGAGTGCTGGGATTAAAGGCGTGTGCCACCACCGCCCGGCTCATAATTTAATATTTAGAAAAGTTTGGGTTTTTGTTTGTTGCTTTTGTTTGTTTGTTTGTTTGTTTTTCAAGACAGGGTTTGTCTGTGTAAAAGCCCCTGACTGTCTTACAACTCGCTCTGTAGACCAGGTTGGCCTTGAACTCACAGAGATCTACCAGTTTCTGCCTCCCAAGTGTTGGAATTAAAGGTGTGCATCTCTCTGTAACCCCTTCCCTCCCTGCTTCATTCCCCTGCTGAGGAATTTTGTTTTGTTTTTAAAGTATTATTTTACATACAGTGTAGTTCAGGCTGGCACTAAACTCACGAAAATCCTGTTTTCTGTCTCCTGAGTGCTGGGATTACAGATGCAAACCACGGCACACACCTGGAGTTTATTTGTAATATGTATTATACATAAATGAAAAATATAGACATATAGAAATACAGAAAAAAGTAAGCAGAGAACCCTTCAAAAAATTGCCTTGGAGAAGGAAATGCGTTCAATAGATGTGGGGTTAGACCTTAGAGCCAGCAGGGCGAATGTGCATTTCCACCCCGGCTCCTCCTGACCCCGAAAGTTCTGGAGATTGGGCTCCCACCACGTGTAGTGATCCAGCAGTGCCAGTGAGTGGCTCCGTGATCCAGCCCCTGCTCTGTGCTCCTGGAGCGCAGCCCTGCTCTGGGCTTCCACAGCCTTGGTTCCACAGCACAGCCTTGCGAGCTACTAGCTACTTAACTGTGAACCCACAGGGAATAACATCTAGTTTGGATTCTTGTGGGATAGGGTAAGTAAGTGTATAGCCTCCCATGTGGTCCTCAAGGCATTAGGTGTCATTTGTCATTTAGGGTACTTAGACTCAATCCATGAACGGGGCAGCAACACCCTGTTCTTTTAGCCCCGTTGACTTGGAAAAAGCAGCAAGTGGTGACTGTGGATATTTTTTTCTGAATTGACTTCAGTTTTCTTTCATTGGTATGCTTTTTTTTTTTTTTTTTTTTTCCAAGACAGGATTTCTCTGTGTAGGCCTGGCTGTCCTGGAACTAGACTAGACTGGCCTTGAACTCACAGAGATGCCTGCCTCTGCTCCCAAGTGCTAGGATTAAAGGTGTGTGCTACCATTGCTCAGCTTCTTGTTGGGCCATTTTCAAACAAACTTATTTTATGCCTTGCTATTCAAGTTTCATCTGAAAGTGAAGAAGCCGCAGTTTGTAAACTTGGATATAGCAGACGAGAAAATGAGAGGAAAGAGGTGCAGCTCACTTGGTAGAGCGCTTGCCGCTACCAACAAAAACCCAGGTTCAAGTCTCATCACCCCATAAAGCAGATGGCCCGCACCGGTCATTCCAGTACTCAGAGTGGAGGCAGGAGGATCAGGAGTTCACGGTCATCCTCAGTTACATTCTGAGTTTAAGGTCACCATGGGAGACACGAGTCCCTGTCTTTCCACAGTTTGTGAGGTGAAAGACTTTGCAGGTGGGAATTCCACGTGGGGAAGGGTAAGCTGGCCTTCCACATGGTTGGGATTTTCCGACCTCCCATTGCAGCTGGGACCTTTGTGAGTACTCCCAGCATTTGGCAACCTTCTCACCGGGAATGAGGTTCATTCTCTGTTGCTTTCTGGGATAAACGAGGTACAAGTGCAAGGAAACCCAATCACCAGTATCAAATCAACTTCTTTACAATCCCCAGAAAAGCAGCAAAAGTCACTGGGCTAGTAGTCCTTCCCCTGTGCCCTCCCACAACCTTGCAGCTACGTCCCACCCTCTCCAGGCCAGGAGGCCCCGAACTCCCTGCTGTTTCTCAGAGCCAGCTGAACACGGGGTTCTCCTAGAAGCCCAGCTACCCAGGAGCCCATTTTTTTTTTTTGTACTTTAAAAGTTTTATTGTACCATGCCTTGGATTTATTTTTTTTTTTAAATTTATTTATTTATTAAGGATTTCTGCCTCGTCCCCACAACCGCTTCCCATTTCCCTCCCCCTCCCCCGATCAATTCCCCCTCCCTCATCTGCTCGAAGAGCAATCAGGGTTCCCTGACCTGTGGGAAGCCCAAGGACTGCCCACCTCTATCCAGGTCTCGTAAGGTGAGCATCCAAACTGCCTAGGCTCCCACAAAGCCAGTACGTGCAGTAGGATCAAAAACCCACTGCAATTGTTCTTGAATTCTCAGTATTCCTCATTGTCCGCTATGTTCAGCTAGTCCGGATTTATCCCATTTCTAAGGGACATACCCACGTTCCATATAGCCTGCAGTGACAGTCACTTTAGAGCCCCAAAGGCAGCCCCATTCAGGTTTCTAAAGTATACGTAGATCCTGAGCAGGCCAGGCTTCTGTGGAGCTCTGTATGTGAACAAGTTCCCAGGAGAGGCAACCATGCAGAGCTGCAGGCTGCACTGCCAATAGCTGGGTCAAACGTGTTCTTCTGGAAAGGCCAGACACCAAGTAGTTTCAGTTTCACGGGTTACCTGGCGTCCACCACACCCACTCAGTCCTTCCAAAAGCAGCCATCAGTGACCACAGGTCAAAGTCAACAGAGTAGCTGACCAAAACCTGATCCCCCCACCCCGAAACTCCTGGGTGGTCCTCAAAGGTTCTCTCTTGTTTCTGTCACTGCGGTGCCCACTGCGGTGCCCACTGCGGTGAGGCTGGTCTAGGGGTTTCAAGTGGCCCTCCTACCTCTATGCCTCCTCTCTCCCACAGGAGAGCTGGGATTACACACAGCATGTGGGCTGGTGCTTATGATTTTAACCTAAGGGAATAATCAAGATGTAAGCAAAGATTTAAATAAGAGAATGTTCAGCTGGGTGTTGTGGTATATGCCTGTAATCTCAGCATTCAAGAGGCTGAGGCAAGAAGAGGATTGCTACAAGTCTGGAAAATCAGCCTGGGCTTGGGGTTGATTTGTTGTCTTTGCAGCGGTGGCCATCTCCCCTCTTGTATGTAAATAATATTCTTTAAGAGCTGGCGGTGGTGGCATTTCCATCTAGTGGCTCACAAACATCTTTAACTCCAGATCCAGGATATCTGACACCTTCTACTGGCCTCCTCGGGCACACTCACTTGCACAAACACACAGTCAGATATAATACACATTAGTAGTAGTAGTAATCACTTTGAAAAAATTAGATCTAGGCTGTGCTAGGCAAATACTTGGCCTTAACCCAATCCCCCAATCTTTGATTCTAGTTTGTGATCTTTTTTAGACATCTAGGTGATGTCTAAAATCTAGGAAATTAATGAAATAGGACTAACCAGAAAGGTTTCCTCGAGGGAGAAAGAAGCCCTGCTGTCACTCAGCAAACCACCGCCGTCTGGATGATGGCTTATGCATGGAGTTGTTTGTCTACACACCAGCCGCTGCTGGCACTTCCTGTTTTAAGCAGAGCTGACCGTGACTCTTCACCATCACATCCTTCACTGAGTTACGTCTCAGGAAAGTCTGTGCTACAATCTGCCCACTAAAGAGCCGTGACCACTAGTGTCCTAA